TTTTATATGTTTTGTGTTAAAAGGTATGTTTTTATAATTAATTGAAATATATAAAACGAAACATTTAATTTAATATGCAGATATTCATTTTTATTTATCCATCGTTTTTTTTGTATACCTAATAAATATTTAAAGCTAATATTATTACTTTATAAAAAGTTAAACTATTTATAATAACACGAATTGAATGCTTAATTATAAAACTAAGCTACAGGATATCCTATTTATATTTAATATTACGTACATACATATTTATAACTTTTTTCCAAGTTGTCAAAAGCGTTTTTTTATATTTTTTAGAATGTTTTTTCAGTGCCATTTTTTTTTAATTTTTCAATAAAATATTATTTATTTATTAGTGTCGCTTACAATTCACCCAAGCGCGCGTTTTACAAATCAGGCGCAAAATCATTTAAACAACTTTAATATTCATAAGATATACTAAAAATGGGTAATTTTTATAAAATGTACATATATATAATATTTAAGTATGTATTTGTATATTAACTATTTTAATTAGGTAGTATAATTAATATATAAACTATTTTAATTATTAAATAGTATATTCAATATATTGACTACTTAAATTATTTAAACCTTTTTTGTTTCCCCTTTTGGTTTCTCTTTTTTCTAAATAATTAAAATAGTTAATTTACAAATATTTATAGAAATTTAATTTATATTATGATAATCATTTTATATAATGTTATTATAATACGTATCATATAAAAATACCACATATTTTTTAATCCATATATTTAAAATACAATAAATATAAAAATATTCATCCTGTTCAATCGCAAAATTTCTGAGGCTCCTAAAAGTCGTTCACACGTCGCATGCTGAATACCCTAATGACAATTATTCCAATGTGAAGTCATGTATGAAATAAATTATGTAATTTTTTTATACTTAGATATATTTGGTCATTACTAAAAAATATTATACATTCGAATAATTAGTAAATAAAGTAAATATAAAGGCAATACAAAATAAGTATTTTTAATAATGTTATAATTTTAAAATAAAGAGTATATTTCGACAGCGCGCTGCAGCGAATTTCTTCGCTTGTGAATACATGTGTACACATACATTCGTCGGCTGTCGCAGTATGCGTGCAAAAGTGCGGCTGGCTTTAGACATGATACAATAACATAAGGTAGTCTCGTCGGCTGTCTAAACGTTCGGGTTTTGGTCAGTGCGTGTTCGTCTTTCGAAGGGAAAGGTTGTCTAAGGACGAATTTTTTAGGAAATTAACCCTTGAGCAACATGACATTTTGCAATGTGTGCCGCAAACACGTCGATGGCGTAAAGGCACCGAAATGTTTGGAAAAAAGAGCGCTATGGGAGGAATCGCTGTGATACTTTTAAAATAACAAAGAATGTAAACGAAACTTTAATAATCGCAGCGGAAAATATTAGTATAAGTTTTTATGTCTAAACTTATTCTAACATTTTCGGCTGCGATTATTAAAGGTTCGTTTACATTCTTTGTTATTTTAAGATTAGAATATATTTTAGAATTAAGAATCTTAACAAAAGACTCAGTATTCAGAGACAAAAACAACGCCTAATTTCAAATTCAAAATTATTAAAAATTAAATTATAAAAAAAAATTAAACTCCTCTTATTATGAAAGGCAAAAAAAAAGAACCCCTGAACCATCTAAGGGTTAATCCACACATTCTATTGTCCCTCTGCTCGCACTTACTAAACAGTTCCCATCTCACTCGCACTCATTGTTATAATAGTAGGGTACCAAAATTTTGCCGACGAGACTACCTTATGTTATTGTATCATGCTCTCTGGCTGGCTTTTGGGCAGAGAGCGAAAAGCCAGTTGAAAAGCCAGCACAAAAAATTCGTGTGCAAAAAAATCGTATGGCGTTACGCATCTTGGAGTTTATATTGGTCTTTGGTTTGGGCCTGTAAGTCCGCAGCAGGAGTCGGAAACCTAAAATTTATTGAAAGCATAATGAATAAAAATGTTTATCTTAATATCCTTAAGGATAATTTACTCCAAAGTGCTGAGAAATTGGGAATAAAACAGGGTTTTCGGTTCTACCAAGACAATGACCCAAAGCATAAGTAGGGTATTGTTCAATATTGGCTGGGATATAATTGTCCCAATATAATGAAATCTCCAGCTCAGTCACCCGATTTTAATGTTTGAATTTGAGAATTTGTGGGCTTTGCGGGACTCAAAAATTCGGGAGCGCAATATTTCCAATAAAAATGACTTGAAAACGGCTTTGCTCGAAGAATTGGCTAAAATCACCCCAGGAACCTCAAAAAAATTGGTCGAATCTATTCCCAATCGACTGAAGTCAGTGTGGACCAAAAGGGTGGACATACCAAATACTAAAAGTTAAAAAAATATTTGTTTGCAAATTTTTATAATTAATTTGATGAACTGGGTCAAATAAGCTGTGACATTGAAAAAGGCAGTATTTATACCCGTTACTCGTAGAGTAAAAGGGTATATTGTATTCGTGCAAAAGTATGTAACAGCTAGAAGGAAGCGTTTCCGACCCTATAAAGTATATATATTCTTGATCAGGATCACTAGCCGAGTCGATCTAGCCATGTCCGTCTGTCCGTCTGTCTGTCCGTCCGTCTGTCTGTCTGTCTGTCTGTCTGTCTGTCTGTCCGTATGAACGCTGAGATCTCGGAAACTATAAAAGCTAGAAGATTGGCATTTTGCATGTAGATTTTAGAAGTTCCTACGCAGCGCAAGTTTGTTTCAAAATGGTGCCACGCCCCCTTTAACGCCCACAATCGCTAATATACGATTTTAAAAATTTAAATATTTCGGAAAAGTAAAAATGCAGTTTTATTGTGTTTATCAATAGCTATCGAAATGTAGAAGAAATTTTTCAAATCGGACCATTCGTTAAAAAGTTATGCGTGATCAAAGTTTCTATCTCCATCTCCCTCGCACTCCCTTTACCTGAGTAACGGGTATTTGATAGTCGGGGCACCCAACTATAGCGTTCTCTCTTGTTTTAGATTTTATTGTTTAATTAATAAGTTCCTTGCTAGAATAAATAAATGAAAACATATTTTTGAAGTTAAAACAACAGTTAACCTTTCTGCGTTTTATTTTTATGCGTATCTCTTATGGTTCAGGAGTTATACCTGTTTAATGTTGAAAATTAGGTGTGGGTCAAATAAGCTGTGAGCCACTGTACCTTCCGTTATCGTTTGTGTCTAATATAGTTTTCCTTGATTGCTTAGTTGCCGCACCCAAATTACCGAGCGTGATAATACAAAACACACTTGAACTTGTTTAATACATATATTGCCGTGCATACAGATAAAGTGATGGCTCGATCTTTTATTGCTAAGGCAAGTTTTATCAACAGTTACGTCCATGGCCAGATAAATTTCATTTTACCCTGGGCAGTATTAATTTCCGAATCAAAAGGTAAACTAAATTTCTCGTGGGGTCGTGCATGTGTACACGAGTCGACACGTTTCTCTAATACTATATAGATATGTGTATATGTATACATTCGGAAGTCGATAATACCCAAAGTATACATATATTTATGTACATCAAAGGTCTGTTGACCCACTGACAGGCGGTGTTCCCGCTGCGTAGCACCGCCTGCCATTAAACTGGCGTATCAACTATTATGACTTTGAAAAGAACACCTAAAACGTGGCGAATGACGTCGACCAACAGGTTGTTCTGACAACAAGAAAGCAAGCCAAGAACAGAAAATTAAATAGGGCTTCAAGTATGTGTATTTCCATATAATTCATTAGCGTTTTGTTTTTAGTGAATGCGGATGACTTGCAAAATTTCAAGAGCTATACTAGGCTAAAAATTAAGGCACTGAGAAAGCTTCAAGCGAGTAGTTTTTAACGCTTGAACAGTGGAACTTTCTAGGATTTCGTTTTCAGTGAAGAGTAGTCTCGCAAATAAAATATTATTTAAAAGTGCAATCCAAAAACATTATATAATATGATCTTTTATATAATTTTGACATTTTCATTTAATTACCTAGTAATTCTTTTATACTATGCTAATTGTTATTTAGAATGACTATACAAAGAGTGAAACTAATTCAATCGCTGTATGGCGCAATCGACCACATTTTGTAATTTGTATTATTAACTTAAAAATATAACATGTTTTTGTTTTTTTTTTAATTATAATAACAAAAATACGATATTTTAAGAAAATTGGGATCGCCGTTTTTCAATATATTTTAAATTTAATTTTTATTTTATTAAATTCGTTTTTTACAAACTTTTTTATGCATTTTCTATAAGAATATAGTTTTGGATGTGCATGTGGTTCTACATTTTACAGGAAATCACAGCTTTAAGAGAGTGTTAAGAAATAAAAAAAAATAAGCTAGTATTTATTTCCATTTTTTTTCCTTATATTACAATTTTTTTACTAGAACTCAATGCGTTTAATGCCATCCGAATATCAGGCTCCAAATGTAAATACATATCTCCTATACCTACTGTTAGGGAGAGTGGGTGTAGTGATATGGTTTACAGGACAAAAACTTAGGCTTAAAAAGTCATTTTGCAAGTGACCAGGTCAACGACTCACAACATATATCCGGGATTGTGCAGATCTGGTGGGCCGTAAATTCTTTTTTAGTGATAAATACACTTGAATTGATTTTTAACAAAAAGACTCCTAAAACAAAAATATTTTTTTCGATGGAAACTTGTTAAAAAACTGTTAACAAATATGATAAAAGCAAATATTCGTCAAATATATGACATGAAAATTGTCAGAGATTACATTTTTGTACTATCCGTTTTAGTGATACTTGTATTTTGAAAATAAACATTATATTTGTTTCGCTAATGGAAATGTAAATTTTAACCAACATCTCACCACTGTGCTGTTCATCGCTTAATCAGTTTATTTTTATGACGTCATAGCAGTCATTTGTAAAGCTTGAAATTGTCGTAGAAATATCTCCCAAAAGACAAAAACACCACGAGCAAATATAAAACGAAACGTTTCGCCGTCGTCAAATCAGTGTGATCTGAAAGGCGAGCGTTAAAGTGTCGATAAAGAGAGAGAAGTTCCAAAAGCAATTCAACACTTCGAAATGATGGTGATACAAAACAAACAGAAGATCTCGGTGCCTGAGTATCTAAACGAACAGTTTTTCACTGAGACACTAGAGGAGGGGCTAAGAGAGTCGAAAGTGACTTTGAAAGAAATAAACTTTGAGTGGGGCAGCAACCCGGGGGACAACTACTGCTCGGCTATCTATCGGGTCGGTCTCACGTTCGCAAAGTGGGCTGATGGGAAGGAATCCTTAGCAACCGAACAACTCTCCCTGATTGTGAAGACGATTCCTATCACTGAAGCTACCCAGTTTCTGGAGGACGTCAGTGTGTTTACTAAGGAAAAGCAGACCTACACCGATGTCTTGCCCCGTTTGGATATCCTGAGCGGGGGAGACAAATTTGGAGCAAAGTATGTAGAAAAGGTTACATTTTTTGGTAAGCCTTTCGAACTTGGCCAACCATCTCAGAACAATCTGGGTAAAGTGTTGTGGCTATTAATTAGCTTATTAAGTAGCTTATTAATTTGTACCGACAATTTACTCCAGAGATGATATTTTGGTTTTTGGGGGCAGTTGGACTCCTTTATTAAGAAAATGACTAATATAATTTTTTTAATGTACCTTAATTTATTTTTGTGTAATTAATTTGTAGTTCACTTTTGCGTTGAGGTGCTCCGGTTCCCGTCAAATATCGAAACCAAATCCAATACAGCGTTTCAACTAGATCGAAATTTTTTGATGGCGAAAACCAAAAGACGCCTGATAATCGTGAAAAAAACAAGAAAAATGCACTGCATCATGCTTTATTTTCGACATTTTAAAAATATTTTTCAACTGGGTCAAAAATTTTAACTTATCCAAACCCACCTCATCATGTCTTTTCCCAGATACTATCACTCCGTAAAGACTCCGGTGCAGACAATCGTGTTTAGCGATCTTAAAGTCGAGGGATACAAAGTTGCCTCTCGGGAAGCAGGCCTGGACTGGGATCACGCCTCCCTTGTTCTCCAGCAGTTGGGCAAGTTCCATGCCACATCCATGGTGCTGGCCAAAAGGGTAACACTGTCAAAACTCGATTATATAGAATGCCGTTCTGAATACCTTTTTTAATCTCAAAGGATCCTGCCATTGTAAAGCAGTACACCCGCGGTATGTTAAGCGAGGAGATCTTGATGAAAAGTGATACTTTTGAGCAAATGTTTGGCGGCTTCCTCAAGGGCCTAATCAAGAGTTCAGCTGGTTGGCCCGGTTTTGAAAAGATAAGCAAAAACCTACAGCGCCTTTTGGACAACTTTCGGTCCGTATGCGTCGCTGCAGCCAAGCCAAAGAAGGGAGATCGATACGTAGTGCTTAACCACGGGGACATGTGGACGAACAACTTTATGTACGCCTACGGGAACGCGTTGCAGCCTAAGGTTCCCACACAGGCCATCTTTGTGGACTTTCAGCTGAGCTTTTATGGCAGTCCGGCATGCGACCTGAACTTTTTTTTGAACACCAGCATTAAGCTTGAGGTGCTCCAGAAACGCCGCGAGGAGCTAATAAAGTTGTATTACGCGGCCTTCAAGGACGCTCTTGAGTACGCTCGCTTTGATGGTATTCCAACCTACGAGGACCTGCAGTATGAGCTGCGCAGTCGCGAGACCTACGGGCTTTTTGGATTATTCGCTTTCCTACCTATGGTCACCATGCCTAAGGAACTCGCCCAAGACAATAGCATAGAAAACATGCAGGACGAGGCTTTTAAGAACCGCAAGATGGACGCCATTTTTTCGCAGAAGTTTCTCAACGACTATCAAAAGTGGGCCTTACAGCGTGCGGATTCTCTTGGCGTCTTCGGGGACTATTAAACCCCGGCTCGGGGAAGACCTCTCTTACATTTGTGATATAAATACGGTCATCTCCAAGGCATGCAAAGTTTAACTTTTGAGTCTAGGTGTTATTGAAAAAAATCGATATGTATTGTCCGAAAGCTCGCTCCGGCCAAATTGCTGACACAGCGTCTGGCCGGAAGATCGTGCATAGCCGGCAAGCACTACCCATTGGAGTGGCCGCTATGAGTCCCTTTTTATGTTAGCTTTAAGTTCAGTTCATTTTTATATCTCAATAAAGACAGAGCCATCGCTCTTTGATATGAATTTCGGCTCAGCCGTTACACATTTTTTATTATTGGTTGTTGTGCCTTAAGGGCCAACGATAACGGAGGTAGTTCCTCCCTACATAAATCCTAACAAAGAAGGAAGACCGCTAGGCAGACTTGCCCGGGACCACCCCTCCCGCTGCCGACACATTGACTGCTGCGCGGGACTGATTAACTCCCTACATAACTCCCAACAAAGAAGGAAGATCGCTAGGCTGAGTTGCCCGGCACACCCCCTCCCGCTGCCGACACATTGACTGCTGTGCGGGACATTTACTAATTTGTACATATGCTTAATACGCTTTTGGCATTACCACTTTGAATTAATTATTTTTATTTACTTTAATAGTGGTTCGTAGAGTTAAAGGGTACATTGTATGTGTTGAAAAGTATGAAACTATAAAAGTATATGTTCTCGATCAAGATCAATAGCCGAATCCATCTTGACTGTTTCTGTCTGTTTCTTCGTCTGTCCGTGTGAACGTCAATTTATTGGAAAATATAAGAGCTAGAGATTTTGGATTAAGCCTGCAGCCATAGATGCACCAGCACTGATAGCGCATGTTAATTTGAAAAGTTTGGCACGCCTTCTCTTACGCCCACAAATCTCGCAATTTTGAAAAGACATGGTGGGGACATTTAATAAATGTATTCATTATATTTTTCAATCCATATCTATTAACACACAAAAATGTTTTTAATCAAACCATTATTTCAGAGATTATAAAGAATAAAGCCTAGTATCCAGATCGACGAAAACCGTACGCCAGTCATGAGAGAGAGCGAGAGGCAAACAGCTGGCGTTCACTTTTCGTCGGGCCTTTTTTTCACGTCGGTCCCCTGATCGACAAAAAAAATACCAGAAAATTCCATAGCGTTGCCAGTCTGCGGAAATGAAGTTTGGGTGAACCCTAGCGAAAAGATTAAAAAATTTAATCTTTTGGCGTGCGCTTCTCACTGAACATTATAAGAAATGGAGGGAAAAACTCAAAAAACTGACTAAAGTCGGTTGCAGGTGTTTACATGTGAGGACAAAATAACATTAATACTATCTGGGGTGCCTCTTGTCAGAGCAATATGTTTTTTAGGTCCAGAATGTACGAAAAAACACAATAAAAGTGCAGCTATGAACTTTAACTTAGCAAATAATTATCAGTAAATTAAAAAAACAACGGTTAAATTTAAATTGTATTGTTTTTCCATTTCTTTGTACAGCGGCAGACTTGTCTTGCCAAGGTATTTGATAATATCTTTTAAAGGCTCTTTCCCGCTATTTTACAATATTTGAATTTTAACTGCTTGTCAACAAACCCAGCTGATTGACAGTACGACCGTAGCACGCTCAAATCTGATGAACTCTCAAAATTTTGGTCACACTCGAAAGATTAAAGTTTTTACGCTAGCGTAATCGTTTGTCGATCTGGATACTAGGCTTAAAGATAAAAATTATTGACCACGTCGGCTTTAGTAAAATGCGTAAATTTCTACTTAAACTATCCAAGAATGTGTCCCTAAAATGTCAAATGCAAATTCAAAATTAATAAAGTTATGATTAACCCACTTTAGTAAAATGCGTAAATTTCTACTTAAACTATCCAAGAATGTGTCCCTAAAATGTCAAATGCAAATTCAAAATTAATAAAGTTATGATTAACCCACTTTTTAAACAATCTAAACAAAATTTTTTATTTTTAAAATTGCACAAATTTTTAGAATTTCTTACCATTTTTCATTTTTTTCTTTTTTTTTGGTTTAAGCCTAGTACTCAGATCGTCAAAAACTGTCCTCCAGTCATGAGAGAGAGCGAGAGGCCAACACCTGGCGTTCACTTTTCGTCAACGTTTTTTTTCATCTCGGTCCTCAGATCGACGAAAAAAATACCAGAAAATGGCACTGCGTTGCCAGTTTGCGGAAATGAACTTTGTGTGAACCCAGCGAAAAGATTAAAGCCTAGTACTCAGATCGACAAACGAGTATGCCAGCGTAAAAATTTTAATCTTTCCAGTGTGACCAAAATTTAGAGAGTTCATCAGAATTAAAAGTGCTACGGTCGTACTGTCAGTCAGCTGGGCTTGTTGACAAGCAGTTAAAATTCAAATATCGTATTTGCGGGAAAGCGCCTTTAAAAGATAGTATCAACTACCTTGGCAAGACAAAACTGCCGCTGTACAAAGAAATTAAAAAACTATACAATTTAAATTTAACAGTTGTTTTTTTATTTTCTAATTTAAGGTTTATAGCTGCACTTTTATTGTGTTTTTTCGTACATTTTTGACCTAAGAAACATTTTGCTGTGACAAGAGGCACCTCAGTTCCTACGTAGCGCAAGTTTGTTTCAAAATAGTGCCACGCCCCCTCTGACGCCCACAAGCCACAAGCCGTGGCCATAGTTTTGATGCTATTATGAAAATTGTAATTGATATGGATTTGTTTCGTCAATACCTATCGATTGGCCTAATAAAAGTTTGCCACGCCCACTCTAACGCCCAAAAACCCATTAAACGCTTAAGCCTGGCTAGCGCCTACATTTCCGTTTTCATGGCCCGTGGTACCAATGTCTTGGGGTAGATGGCGCAATACAATAGCGCCATCTAACGGATGACTTTGGAGCAGCTGGCCAAGGTGCTCAACAGAGTCAACGTTAATTCTCGATAAGGATTTCTATTAAAGGAAGCATATACATATGTATGTATTTACATTGTACACAGTTGCAATTGCCCGGCAAAGATAACTCCTTTCAAAGAAAGCTATTCGCTATACCCGTTACTTGTGTTGTGCAAACATTAAGACTTTAATATACATAATACTATTTAAGAATGTATGTGTTTAGCCAATATAAGTATGTATGTTTAATATTTCTAGTCAATTCATTACAAGAAGGCATATTTATATTAAGTTGTTTAGCTGAGTAACGGGTATCTAATAGTCGAGGCACTCGACTATAGCGTTCTCTCTTGTTTAAGCTGGTGCCGTACTGCGTGCGCTATATAGCTACGAGCTCGTTTATTTTGTAATTTAACACCTTCTTACGACTCTAGTTGAAGGATCTACGATTCTCCTGCTGAATTTTGGCCAAGTCTTCGATAGCGGGTTTTCAAGAAACATGTTCAGCTCTACTTTGTTAGTTGTAAAAGGTGAGAATGCTTATACCAGCTACAGGGGTTTTCCTGACAAACGCAGTCCCTCTGTCTGATATTATGCGCCTAGGGTTTCCAAACTCTGCCGCTTGACGAGTAAGTCGATCAATAACTCCTTAAGCCGTTTTATTTTTTTCGGGTGCAGCCAGACGAACTTAGAGAACGCATCGATCACAACGAGAATGTAATTATACTTCTTGCTGGTCTGCGCCATTGGTCCTACATGGCTTATTGTCTTTGCTAATAGGTGTTAAAAAACCTTCCTTTCTGCCTGCCTTGCCCTTAGAAACATTACATTCGACTCAGCTTTTTACCACTCTAATTACTTTCATCGACAAGTTCGGTATGTAAAACGTCTTCAGCCCAGCTTCTTGAGTTCTTTTTACTGTGAAAAAAATACGTGCCGCATTTTGCTGCCACTTCGGTGTTCGATGACGTAGTCGTAATCCTGGAGAAACAATGCCCAAACAATGACACTCTTTAAGGAATTTCGCCGAGCTTTTTCATTGTTAAAGCAAAGACGTTGCAGTCGGTTATAATTTTAAACTTTATACCCATTAAATAGACACGCCATTTTTTCAAAGCTTCGACTATAGCCAACACTTTGAGCTCGTAAGAGTGGTATTTCTCTTCAGCTGGCTTCGTTTTTCGGTTTAGATATTGAATAGGGTGCCACAGTTGATCGTTCGGATCTTTTTGGAGAAAAACTCCTTCGTAGCCGTGCATAGAAGCGTCTGTGGGAATCTCCGTTTAAGCTTTTGGATTGTATAATTGTAGCACCGGTGCAGATATGAACGCATTGGCGTTGCTCTTCAGCGAATCGGAAGGGAACTTCCTTACGAAGCAAGTCAGAAAGTGGTTTCGCCTTCATCACGTAGTCTACCTTTCTCTTGAGAAAATGAAACTTGCTTCACTTAATTTTCAAATAAAACTCTGAAGCTTGGTTTAAAACACGCTTTAGCTTTTGGATTCCTTCATTTACATCTTTAGAGGGAATAATGAGATCATATATGTATGTTACAATTGTACCATCTTGCATTATATCCAGTAGAATTGCATAAATGAATCTAGAAAATACGGCTGGTGAATTGGAAATTCCAAGCAGGACATATAAAATCTCAAATTGCCCTGCATGCGTCACGAAAGATGTGTACTTTGTCGAATTCTGGTCAACTGGTACATGGAAAAATCCATTCGTTAAATCAAGTGTTGTATAGGAGCCGTTTCCCTGCAGTCTTTCAATGACATCATCTATAAGTGGCATAGGAAAATGATCTTTGGCAATCTTAGCCGTTTATAGTCGCAACAAAGCCGCTTGCTACCGTCCTTCTTCGGTACCAAGACAACAGGTGAGGCATACTCAGATGAACCAGGCTGAATAATCTTTTCTGCTAGCCATTTCTCAACCTGAATGTCTACAATTGACTTGTCTGGATGTGAAATGCGTTTTTCTTTTGGTTGAAATTTTACCGACTTCTGTGAGAATATCAAGTCCGATGATGAGTACTTAATATCAATTCTGCTCGCAACGTGAAAGTTTAAGTCCAAAAAAGTGTTGTCTACCAATACTTGGGTTAAGAAACTGTCAAGCTTATTTAGATCACTGTTGCAAATGCCGACCAGACAATGCTTTTCATCAACAAGCTCAATATTTCCCAACATCTCAACCACGTCGTCACGGATAAGGCAGAGATCACAGCCTGTATTGATCAAAGCGGAAAATCGAATACATATGCCACTGCTGCTGATATGGTTCGTCATTGAGTTCGCACTTATTCCTTCCTTTTTATACCCTTGCAGAGGGTATTATAATTTTGAAAGTTTGTAACGCAGTGAAGGAGACGTTTCCGACCCTATAAAG